AAAAGTTCCACGAATTTCAACAAATGTTGATCAAAATTTTAAATATTTTAATCAGATGTTCTAGAAATGTTTTGAGTATGCAGTTTTGTAGTCCATTAAATTTTACAATTTTTTAAAATTTTTTGTTCGCGCATTTTCTTCCATACAAAGTATGTTCAAATTTTTTTTTGTATGGAGAAAATGAGCAACACCTTTCACAAAACAAACTTACCAAAAATCAACGGTAAATCCTAGCTACTTAAAATTTGCACTTTGAATTGAATGGGCTAAAAAACTGCATAGTCAGAATGTTTCTCAGCAATTGAATTTAAAACCTCACAATTTTCATGAAATTTTGTAAAATTTTAGTAATTGTGATTTTTTGGGGGAATTAGTATCAGGTTAGAATCGTTTCATTAAAAAAAATTAACAAATAATTATAAAAAACTTCCAAAAAAAATTTGACAAGAATGATAGACTGCAATATAGCGAGAGTACCAGTTAGACAGAATAAAACATAACCAAAATTATAGAAAATAAGGATGCTATGTTTATCCCTCCCTTATCTTCTGTGTCCTTTGTGGTAACTAAAATGCTGCCACGTTTGTAGGAAAAATGGTTTTTGGACCAGAGTACAAGTAGTCTCTTATTAAATTAGTAAAGACAACACTAAAAATCGGGATTTAATCGGTACAAATATGAAAAATCGGGACACTTACACGTCCCGACTTTTGAAAAATATTCAAATATAATTCTCAAAATCGGTATTGTCCCGCCAAAATCGGTCCGAATGTCACCGTAGCTACATATCATTGACCTCAAATACCCCGTTCTAGTACTCAGTTTCGAACATCCTAACGTACCACCCTAGTGTAAGTAAATTAAAGCTCGCCAAAAGTAATTAAACTTTTGCTTAGGAAGTATTTCGATTCGAAGGAAATTTCGATTTTTTTTTTGAATTTTTTCGTCCCTTCTCGGCTTTTGCTATGTAGTCGGCTCTTAAAAGTTTGATATAACAAATTTTTTGTCTCGAGCACTAACTTACCGCACTATAGTCAGTACCAGTACTAGTACCGGTCAGCTGGCCAAGAGTACTCAACTTTTTCCAAGGAAGTATTTTGATTATTTTTATTGCCGAATGTAGGTTTCACCGAATAATTTAAAAAGAGTTTGACCAAAAAAAATTTTTTTTTTTGAAATGCATTGCAAAAATACCTTTCACTCAGGTATGTAGGGCGAACATTTTTTGGTTTACTTGTAAATTGGTCTAATGCACGCATATACATACTACACATGCATGTACATATGTAGTCGTATCTAAGTAAAAATGCTAAAATATGTATGTATGTACATATATCTATGTATCCGTCGACAAACTGTGCGCTCGCAAGCAAAAAGTGTCAAGATAATAAATTCAACAATTTGAAGGAAAGGGTTAGTTTCGATTAAATCAAGATGAGAAAAACCTAACCGGAAAAAGTGGCATTATTTTCATTTCTTTTGGTATGAAAAAACTTTGGCTTGCTACAAAAAACGAAAAGAGTGCAGACACTGTCCGGCATTTGTCCATCCGCTCGACCGTCGCTTGCTTACCCCCCACCCCCTCCAACCACTCGCTTACGTATCGACGATATAGTCACATAAATTTTTAACATTTTTACATAACCTAAGGCTTGCATACATACATATTGTGTGGATGTATGTAAGTAAGTGTGCATTTTCACCCCCAATTTTTGATATTCAAGAAATTTAGATGACTTCAAAAAAATGTATGTTCGCAAAAATAGTGAAAATAAAATGAAAAATTTAATATAACAAAATTTTAGATGGAAGGAAAAATTAAGGTAAAATTAATAAAAATTTTTGCATCTACAACGTATAATGGGGAAAAAAATTCGTATAAAATGGAAATGTGAAAATAAAATAAAAAGCAGTAAAATGCGAGTCGCTCAAGAACATCCCAAAGCAGCGCTGGGTTAAAAGAAACTATTTGAAAATTTCGCAAAGTTTTTTTTTTTTTCTTTTTTATAGAAAAGGAGTGTCAGTTATATACATGCATATGTACACACAGACCTATAAAAGCACATATGTATATGCTTGCATTGACGCAGGATGATTTAAAAGTAAAAAAAATCAACATGTGTATGTATGTATGTGTGCATATAAAAAGCAAGGATATAAAACATCGAACGACACCAGCAAGGAAGGCAACTTAACGTTAATAGGAATTGACGCATTTGCGACGACAGCGACGTTTTACAACGTGAGCAAAGGGGACAAGGTCTGAAGTAGTAAAAAAATAGTTTAAACTTTATGTAGGTATAAACATATATTTCCCTATAAATTACATATATGTATGTAAGTACATACATATGTACATATTTTTGCATGAATTTGCAAATTTTTGTCATTCTTTATAAACTCTGGCGCAAATTATATGAAATAGTAAAAAAATGATTCAGTATTTATATTTCGGCACTTGTTTTTCTCTCTTCGTTACAGAAAAAATTAGTTATATTTTATCAGGTGAGCTCAAATTTTTTTAAAAAATTTTTTGCAAAAGTATGGCTGATTATCTAACAAAAAACATATAAATAATAAATGCAAACTTTGTGCAAAAATTACAACGAAAAATCAAAACTTTTTACACTTTATTAGACTAGAATTAAATGCGCTATGTACCCAAAAATTTTCTAAAAATTCTGAATTTTGAAATTGTAATGAAACACTAGATTTTCTCAAATTTTTGTACAAAGTACGATTTGTTTTTTTTTTGTTTTTGCTAGATAAATAGCTATAATTTTATAAAAATTTACAAAAAAAAATTCAAAATGAAAAAACATTGCGAATATTTTAAACATTTTATGATTTTGAGTTTGAGCCACTGTACAAGCCACAAACACTCTACCTGTGACAGTGAGGATCGGGTGTGATGTTCAATCCTAGTGCGGGAATTCCCATTGGAGAGTGTCACTCACCAGAATTGAGATTTGTGGCTTTGTGAGCCCCAGAAGATGCCTTGACCGTTTGGTGTCCATATTCGGCTAGAAAGGCTGTTCATTTCCTGTTTTCACCCGGTGTACGCTGGGCTGACCCCAGGCCCATCTGTCCAAGAGTAGTCCATAAGTAATCAAAGGTACCTCTTCGCCCTCTTTTCAGTGATATTGACGCAAGGGTGCAATTCCTGGCTTAATTAACTCATCCAAAGCGCATCTACTTGCAAATTTATGGCCTGGAAATAATCAGACCCAATCGTTTGGCTAGCAGAGTATAATAGATATTTATCGCCCTTAGAATGCTTCCGAAATGGTAGTTGTCTCTGTTTGGAAATCATAATGGTGATCTGGAAGCTTAAATTTGAGATTTAAAGGAGCTCATTTCAAAATATCTCTCCGTCATCCCTTTCGTCAAGCTTCGCCCTATCCGTGTAGAAGTACCTAAATCGTTACCTCCTTTCAATTTCTAGTCCCTCGCTGTAAATACGCCAGCTTCTTCGCTAGTGCCTTCCACCAGACCAAAACTACATAGCATATTATGAGTTTAACCATGGTTTCATAGAGCCGGTGAACCTATTTCCCTCTCTCCCGCAGCAGTAAAAATCCACTGATAGCTTTTTCACTATCTCTTCAATATTAGGCTTCCACGGCAGGTTCTTATCTAAATGGAACGAAGATTGAGTATTTAGTTGACTCCAACAGAAAGTCCGATGTCTCTAATAGAGGGTAGGGTGGCTTATAATATCTTACACTTCCTAGTGAATAGGACGGGCTCCTTTTCACTGGGATTTACAGCAGCTCCATTGTTCCTAAATCACTTAGTCACTAGGTGCAGCCTGAGATCAAATTATAGAGGGTATTCAGAAATTTACCCCTCACTGAAAGTGTAACTTCATTCGCATAGGCAATCACCTGGCAGCCTCTGCTGAGTAGCTCCTCTAGCAGGTTTCTGACGACCCCAATCCAAAGGAAGAATAAGAAAACACCACCACCGCAGAGCTGTATATGAGCTTATCTGAGTCGGTTTCGACCCCAGCTTACTAAGTGATCTAACAAATGTCTCTGGAGCGACATTGCTAAAAGCTACCTCTATCGACTTAATGGTAGTGGGCAGGCGGTTAGACAGCTCCTGACATTGAATCACGAAGAATTCTGCTTTTAATATGCTTATCGAGTATCTTTTCTAAGGTTTTAAATATGTCGAAACGAAAGTGGTACTATTTGGTTTGGAATAGTTAAGAGAGATGTGAGAGTTTTTTCTGGCCTTCGATATAAACATCAACCTAACTACTGTCTAAGTCCCGGGGATACATTGCGAATAAGTTCTCATATTTTGATTAACGTTCTAAATTGGCGTGAAATGGCTTAGTTCACCTGGAAGACGTTACAAAGTTCAGAAATTCGTAGGCTAGTTTTTATTAGGAGCTCTTGTGTGGGAGTTCCACTGCCTGCCTTTGTTTTCCAATTCGAGACACTGGTAAATATGGCATACACCGTCGACTTAGATCACGAAAATTTTTTGGAGTCCAGAGCTTTCGAATGATCGAATATGAAGGCGTTCGTTTCAGTTCCTATCTTTTCGCCACAGCTTCTCGTATTTATGCCCAAATGTATTAATGTAATGTATTACGTTTTGTTGAAAATTTATTAGAGGAGCATTGAATCGGCCAACATATTTGCAGTGTTAACTTTTGGAAGGCATTCTTAACTGTCTTTCTGGGTTTAGGAAGCATCTCGATTTTTCATCGAAAAGCGAAACAGCAAACCTTCAAATGAATTTTGTATTGGAGGCCTTTACAAAGACTAACTATGGAGCCATACTGAGCGTACCTTCATTGCTATGGTAAAATCAATATCCAAAATTAAAAAGCGACTCCTACGTAGGTACATACATATGTAGGTATCTGAGCTGGCACCTGTTAACATAATACGCATTTAATATATATTTCTCTTAGTTTTGCATATAAGTAATATAACAGTTTTGTGTAATCTATTAATTTTTCCCCTTTTCCTCTTCCTTTTCAGCCATCATGTTGCCACAACAATATTGCCTACGATGGAAGTACCATCACAGTAATTTACAGACAATGTTTTCACAGCTGCTGGATCGTGGCTGCTTTTGCGATGTCACTTTGGCTTGCGAGGGCCAACTGATCCGCGCTCATCGCGTTGTGCTCTGCGCCTGCAGCAGCTTTTTTGACACGGTGCTGACCAATTATGCCAGTGAGCGCGATCCAATAATTATAATGAAGGACGTCACATTCGCCGATGTTAAATGTCTAATTGAATTTATGTACAAAGGCGAAATAAATGTGGAACATGTAAGTGAAGACCGGATGAGGTGAATTTTTAAAATTTTAAAATAAATTTCAATGTGTTTTTTTTTCATCTTCTATACACATAGGCAAGTTTAGCATCACTCTTAAAGACTGCAGATGATCTCAAAATCAAAGGTTTGGCGGAAGTTTCCTGGCGTGACGACGATGATGGCCCGCCGCTGCCCACCGCTGCCACCGAGTTCCACTCGCCCACACTCGTGCATGATATGTACGGCACACGACTTGAACAGCAGCGCATTGGCTCGCCGGGTCTTATGGATCAGCAACATCCAACACAGCCACTGCAGCGCGAACGAAAGTTGTCATCACCGAAGGCCAGCACGCATGCGCAACAGCGTTTACCGACATTGACGCCAATTCCGTCGATGAACAGCGTTCAAATGGCTGCTGCTGCTGCCGCCGCTGCCGCAGCTGCTGTGACGTCAGCCGCATCGCCGGTGGAACACTACTTGGGACCGAAACGTAAGCGTGGACGTCCGCCACTTGACGATGCCTATGATGTTTTCAATGTGTGAGTATGGGTTTTTGAGTGCTTGCTGGGTTCCTTTTTCGTTTGCTAAAGTATAATTTTCTTCATTGTAGACGAAAGCTGGCACACTATGGTGGTTTGGAAGCGCATCATCACCACCATCAGGCCTACTTAGAGGCGCAGCGTCATTACAGCGATGAACAACGGCGCCTGGCCGTCATCTCGCCCATACCGCCATCGTCGTCGTCTACATCAGCCGCAGCGGTCGCCTACCACCAGCACATCCAACAGCAGCAACACAATAAGCGCATGCGCCAATTGCAACGCCAACAGCAACAGCAGCTGCAACAACACCATCACCAGCTACGAGCCGATGTAGATGATGTCGAACAGGATGATGCGCAAGCTGATCCCGAGTGGATAACCAGCAATTTGGAGGTGAATGTGGGCGGTGGTGGCGACAGCGAGCCAGTTATTGAGTGCGATAACGAAGCTTCTTTGGTTAAGGAGCAAAAGGCCGACGTTGTTATTGATGAGAAGGATGTAAATCCCATGGTGAAATTGGAGCTGAAGAAGCGCAAGGAACGTACTTCAGAGGAACGCGAGAGTGCGCTTACGCGCAAGCGCTCAAATGGCGAAGAACGCAAGGATAGCAGCGCAGAGAACGGCGAACATGAGCGGGAAGAACAACAGCTTCGAGAACGTGTCACACAAAGCGAAGTGTCTGATCAACCCTCAGATCGTGTCGCAGGTGCTGAGGAGGATGAGCAACAACAAGCCGCAAATGTGCCTCAGCCAGTAGAGGAAATGGAGAGTGTGCGACAAACAGCGGAAAAGACTAGCAGCGCTTCGGCTACGAATGCCCCATTTGCATCGAGTGGTTCGCACAAGCGCGCAAGTGTCAATAGTGAACAGATTGCGCCGCCGCCACCGCCACCACCATCGCTGCATCACGGTACGCATGGCTACAACAAATACGCGCCTGAGGGTTATTTGCTAAATGAACATGGCATGTTAATAACACACGATTTCGTACATGCGCCTACGGCCGCCGTACCGTCGACAGGAGCAACAGCGTCCTCGTCGAGTGGCGTTGTAGCAGCCGCCAATGGAAATGATCAGGAGTATGTTGATATAAAAATGGAGGAGTACGATGGCACAGAATTGCGATTGACCACCGAAGAAATGTCTGAGTGGCAGGATGTAATCAAAATGGATGATTATTTGGCAAAAGGACGAAGGCCGCAGTTCTGGGAGGAGCCGTTCACGCGACGCGTAAGTTTAGCAGTGTAAAAGTAGTAGTAGTAGTTATAGTAGAGCGTATTTTCTTCAAAAATTATTCCAGGTACTCGATGCTATCAAAAATAAACGCTTGGAAATGAAGAAAGCTGCACGCATTTTGGGTGTCTCCTACGGTACTTTGTATGGACGATATCGAGAGGTTTATGGATGTTTGAAGCACCCTTATAGGTTGGTCTGAAATTGTACTTGTGAAAAGGTTTGCGTTTAAATTACGAAATAAACTATTCGAATTTTTGGAGAAGGTCCAAAAAGGCGAAAATTCTCTCTGAATGCAGAAGATTAACTTCTAAAGTTAGAGGCATAGCGTTAGTTTACATAAACATACATACGTATGCATGTATGTACATACATTAGAGTGGTCCAAAAAGATTAAAGTCGGAATTTTAATGCCGCCACCCTCTAGGATTGTTCTATACCGAAAAAATACACCCCTATTTTTTATCAAATCAAACCAAAAAATATTAAGGGAGCGCTCAAAGCTCTCAAAGTTGTCCATGTATTTTATATGGGGGAATACCACTTTTCGTAGACATGGTATAAAATTTTTGAGCACTCCCTAAATTTTTTATTATTTCTAAATAAAAAATATGGTATAGAACAATCCTATGGGGTGGCGGCATTAGAATTCCGATTTTACTTTTTCAAATGCATTTTTGGACCACCGTTATGTACATACATACATGCCTGTGATTAAGAAATTAATTAAAAAATTTGAACTAAACACATTTGGGTTGTGCTAGTAAAAAATACTTTTGGTAACAAGGTAATATGAGATTTTTAGGGCGTACGCGGATTACATTTACATAGTTTTTATCATTCAAAGAGTCTTCAACGTATGATGCCCCTCATAAAATTTTTAGATGCATTCAATTATTCAGATCGAAATCGTATATTTAAACTCTTACTTAACTTAACTAAACTTAACTCAACTTTATTGCAGTAGTACCACTTTTCGGCCATCACAAACCAATCAATTAGCCGTGCAGCCACGTTTTGACATGGTTTGGCCATCGCCTAAGCGTGATAGTGGTCTAATGCCTGGTCAGTTGGGTACGTCTGACGTTGTAGATGCAGTGTGTAGAAACTAATAACTTTTCCATAAATTATTTGCTTTTCTTCACTATAGAAATCGGAAAAATACGTCCAAAGGATCTAAGCGAATTGTGGACGCGGCCACAGATATGAAAAAAAGCACAACAAAAGATCACAACCTGTAAATAATTTTGCTGTTTATCATTATAAGCAAGTCATATTTGCAGTATCGCGATAGGACTTACAAGTGTTACTAGTACTTTTTTCCAACTATCAATAATTTTTGTATTACTCTAAAAAGTATAAGATTCACAAGTATTTACATACATACCTACATTCGTATAGAAAATATGTTTATCTTAAGAAAACAAACGTAATATTAAGCAAAAACAAAATGGTAAAAGACATTAAAAAGACAATTAGCAGTGTGTAAGTTTAGTGTGAGGCTAGTTATAGTTGTTTCCAATTCACAGCACGCGTGCAGGTACTGAAGTAGTTATTGATTTATTTAGATGTAATACGTAAATCATAATTTCTAGCTAAATAATATCGAAAATTTGGTTAAAATAAAGCATAACTAGGTGTGAAATGAAAATGTAATGAAATAAAGTATTTAAATAGCAAATAAAATTCGTTAAGTATTTGTTAAATTTGGCCGTATACTATTCATATGAATATAGTGAATATACACTTGCTTGCAATGTTTTTGTTTTGTTTTTGGTAGTCAAATTATTTCCTAAAAAAGTATGAACATATATATGTACTTTTAGACAAAATCAAATGAAAACCTTATTCTTGATTACTTTCTTGCTGTAAATAGTCGATTAATATAAAAATAAATACATTTTATTATACTACAAAAATAGACAGCTAAGTGTGTGTTAGTATGCTAAAATTAAATAAATAAAAATATGTATTTAATTTCTATCTTACAGACAATTGTAATTAATTTAGATATGTCGTAACTGGGCAGGATAGGAGATTGTATGTTGTTGCATTACAGATGCGTATATGAAATGTCTTATACTGAAATATATAATGCAAAACAACATAAACTTTTCTTTAGCCAATGAGTCAAAATTACATTTTAGCGGCTTAAAATATTTTTATCGCATCTGAGGTGGCATCCTACGAAGAAGTGAAAAATAGCATGGAAACGAGTTCTGTTTTAGACTTGAGTTTGGAATTCATGGAAAGTCAGATAAAGCACATTTAAAGGACTAACTACTTTAAATTAGAAATCCCCACTACTACCACTACGTCTGATCGAAAGATTACTTTGTAAACAAAGGAAAGCCTATGCTTAAAAGTCACGCAAATACTGCGCCAATAAATCACTGTGTTGTTAAAGCAAGTTATTTCGAGTAAAATAGTTGAATAAATGTTTCACAACAAACACATCAGCTGTGAAATAATTCTCTCAATACATGACTACATTTCAGAACTCCAATATAATGCATACATGGGACTTACCTAAAAATTTCGATATGTTTTATTTGTTGTATAACACACATTTGAGGAGAAGTAAACTTTTCAATAATTTCAACACACTTGAATCACTAATTCATATGCTATTTCGAGTGCCCTACCGCTTACTATCACTTAGCCAGCGGAAGCCCACGCATGGCGGCGTCTGTTGAAACTTTTGGCGGCAAGCACATGGTAAGTTTCATATTTCACGTTGTAAATAACACACATGCAAACACAGCAACATTAGACGCCACTAGTAACATAACTTATTACTTATTTATTTAAAAAAATTTAATTATTTGCACTTTATTTGCGGTAGGCCCGCTTCCGGCGGCTATTAAATAATGGTTTGCAACTTTGGTTTTCCGTTCGCTGTATCCGCCAAAAAATTTCTTATTGTTATCGATAAGCGTTCTCGACTTTGCTGGCCCTTTGAGCGTACAAGCTGATTTCTTGTCAATAATTAGTTGTTATTTTTATAAATAAAATAAGCCCTGATTTCCACTTCAAATTATTGGTGTCCAACTTAAAATAGCAAATTTGTTCTCTTCTTTATGCTTTAACCTTTCTAAATACCGCTTCCGGTGTCTAATATTTAACTTCCCGTAGCACCCTGTGTCAGGTTATCTTTCGCTGCATCCGCTAGAAATCGGTGTTGTGTTATCGATAAACATTTCGACTACGCTAACTTGTCAAAGTGAATAACAATTGGTGTTTGCATGTCACAATTATTTATTAAATTTGTACATTAATTTTTTTATTACATTTATTATTATAATGCTAAAGGAATTGAATGTTGAAGATAAAACGTACTTCTTTGAGTGTGCAGTGCAGGGAGATGTAATAGAATACTTGTTATATGATTCCAATGAAAACTGGACGGCAGTGAAAACTCAGGAGGAGGTGGCTCAGACTTTGCAGGTGTCATACATACTCAATGCATTATTTCACACCAATACTTAATACTTACATATCTATGTCTATAAATGTATCTTATAGTTGCTGAACAAACGCATCAAGTACGATGTGGCTACGGCCTATGATACTTTGCAAAATACGCAACCGGAATCAGCTAATTGGATGGTGAAAGATCATGGAGTTGACGCGTCTAGTGCCAGCGAGCGTATATTGACACTGAAATATCGTGTCAAAGGTTGTCCATTCAAGTTTGAATGGCTTTTAAAGCGAGAAGATAAGTCACTTACTATCCCACTGCCAGTAAACGAGGTTACCAGTTTAGTAGACCGCTTGCCAGTGCAAATCGAAGAGCTATTGGAAGTTTTACGGCGCAAAGAAGATGAAATAATTCAGTATCGAACAGAGTATGGCAGTCTGCGGCGATGTAGGATTTATCTAATGCAAGTATTCCTCATTTGGTATAATTTATTAATATTTACAGCAACTGTTGCCACAAACCCGTTTGATGTTAACAAGTTTCGTGAACGTTACGCTGCAACTGATATGAAAGTAAAGATATTGCAAAAGCTTATAGCACGTTGGCGGGTTGAGCATGGCCAAACCGATTCAACGCAGGCCGCAGAAATCTCCCAAAGCAACACATCTAGCCCTACAAACATAGTTAAAAAAGAGGAAACGGAAAGAAGATTGCCGAGTAACTTTAACAAAATACTCGAGAGCCCACGAAATAGGCAAGTTACCAGTTTTTGGTCATTAAAGGCATATATGTTCGTATATGTATATTAAGAATTCAAAGTTTTTTTTTTCATTATAAAGAAAGCGTAGAGCAAAGCAAGAGATACAAGCGCAAATGAAACGTACACTTCACGCACGCAGACAAAAATTAGAATATGAAAGTCAAAGTCAATCGATGGATGAGACCAAGGAGGTAATTGAAGAGTCGGAAAAGCCAACCAGCAGTGGGAAGGCTATAAAAAATACAAAATGTAATGAAAATGAAACAGCAACGGCAAGTGGTAAAAAGGGAATAAACACGCCCATCAAGAGTTCCAACAGCAATGTGGCAAACGCAGATAAAAGCCAGATTATTAAAGCTGCAAGCGAGCCTGTAAAGGAGGTAGCAAGGTCTTATAAATGAATGGTTGTAATATTAGCGATTACATTGTAAAAATAACTCGGGTATGTTTTTTTTTTTCAGTAAAACAAAAAAATTGTCACCTCGCGTCGAGGGAAGGCCAGACACCCGACAAAGACGTCGTGAATGCGAAATTCACGACAACAGTCCCAGTGATTTGATGATCATTGAAAACCCACTTCAAAATGTGGTTTATACGGTGGACGAAAGTGTGGAGCCAGTAAAAATCAATGGTGTTAATGGTGTAATAGGCAATGCTACCAATCAAAATGTAAAAATTAAATTATATTCTTCCAATATACGGGAAAGATTTAAGTCTCAGTCCATGGATAAAGTACAGCAACCTAAGAATGATGTAAGCGCTTATGTGGACAGCGTGCTTAGTCAACTAGATGCTTTTGATAAGGAGTTGAAAGCGCAATTCAGCAGTGCATGCATTGAATGATAGCGGTGCTACGTTCTTAGCAATAAAAAATAATAGCTTTTGTATATGTCCTTTTTTATAATTTTGTGTATGTAAATTAACGTGAATTTTGTATATTTGTAGTGATATTGTATACCAACGTTGTTAACTAGCATTTACAAATAAATTACAAGATATTTCGTATTTAAAATGTACAAAATT